GACGAGTTAAGTTCACGCCCTCTGATGGTCTACACCCCGCTGTTTACTATACGGCTATCGCTCGCTTCCTCGCTTGGTACTCTGACCAGCCAATGTCCCGGACGCTGCCCTCTCCTCATAGCCTGGACGTTCACTGCTCGAGATCTCTCCGTGCCCAGAAACATCCTCTGGCGACCTTCTTCGTTGAGGCGCACGACTTCGTTCATAATGCTGGAGCGATCCTCTACCGTCGTGTGAGGGCTCCTGCACCGGCTGCAGATGGCGCGGCGATCCCACCTGCCCCGGCTGCTATGCCTGATGATTGCCCCCCGGCATCTGTGGTACACTCAATAGTGGATACATCCCTGGTTTGCGCGCTCTCGTCGACTCGTCTCATGCATATAGTGGATTTACTGGCAGAGGGTAAAAAGTGCCTCAAGCAAAACAAAGCAGGAACAAGCTAAACCTCCAGGCACACAGTCCACAGCGAGAAGCTGCACAATCACACACAAAACACAAGCCCGAAAAGATCCAGCACTGCTGGCACCCAGACGCGGCAGCGCCAGCCCAAGCGCGAAGCCGCGCAGACAAGCAGCCGAAGGGTCAGGCAATCAAGCAACAAGCAGCAGGAGCATGCAGGAGGAATAAAATCCCTTAGACGCGATACCCGGAGGCAGCCGACTGACCACTGTCAGTCGAGACGTCCGCTGCCGCCACAAAGCGGGCGGCCGCGGACGGAGAAAGGGCAGCCGCCGACAAGGAGCCGGCGCTGCCCGGGGGTCCGCCAGGGGCAGCGGACGGAGGGAGGCTGGACACTGGAACACGGTACCGCTCGAGGTAGTCCTCCTCGCTAGCCTCCGAGTCAGCGGTAGCCGAGTCAGTGGTAGCCGCCCGTGACGGCGGCGACGCCGCAGCAATGCCCAAGAGCACTTTATTGCTCCGCCTGCGCAGCGCAATGTGACTCCTCTTGTCATGCGCGTCTTCCCTCGCCATGTGCATGCTCGCGCTGCGCTGACCGATCAGCAGCGTGATATCCTCACCTTGCACAGCCGCAGGACACACTCGCTCAAGTCGCAGGATAGGGTCTTGCAGTCTACCATCTTTGCTCATTTTCCTGAGCGAGACCTGAGCCACTCTGTAAGAGACGGATTTACTGGCAGAAGGTAAAAAGTGCCTCAAGCAAAACAAAGCAGGAACAAGCTAAACCTCCAGGCACACAGCGCACAGTTCACGTCCCCTGCTGTGCCGCTTGCCCCTCTCTGCTTGTGTGGCTTCCCGCGTGGGCTGGCATTGTAGGGTCTGGTTGCGGCGCAACACCCTGAGCGGGAGTGGCTCGGGTCCCGCTCAGGAAAATGAGCAGAGATGGAGGCTGTGCAACAACCTCCTCCTCGGACTTTGTCGAGTTTTCGCCGGAGGTCTCGACGCCAGAGTTTTACTTGCATAAGTCTGAGGATGTTTACTCGCAGAAGGTAAAAAGTTCCTCAAGCAGAACAAAGCAGGAACAAGCTAAACCTGCATGCACACAGCGCACAGCGAGAAGCTGCACAAACACACACAACAAAACAAGACCAAAAGTAACCTGCATAAGGTAGAAAGTGCCTGACTCCGACGAAGAGTGGAGCTGAAGGCCGTCGAGGAGCTGGCGAAGCCTCTCCGTCCATCACTGTGACGTCTGATGCCTCCGGAGAGCTCGATGCCACTGGGATGCTCGCGGCTGGTCCGCGCTCGCCTGCTTGCTCCCCCGCGACGGGGTCCTTGGGCATCGTCGCCGTCAATGGCGGTCTCGGTCTCGGCGCCCGCTGCGCCCGCTCAGGATAACAGAAGATAACAGTCAAGCATCTGAGTGAAGCGATGCGGAAAATCCTTGAGGGAGTGTTTGTAACCTCTGTTGAATCTATCGACATACTTTCAAGATTCATTACCAAGTCGGCAGACGGCAGCGGGTCCTCTGCCTGGTCGTTTCACGTCTCATCATCTTCTTTTTGCTTGTTCCTTCAACCTCGCTCGTAGAGTCACAACTCAGTGCTGCTCTCGAGCACATGCTGCAAGAGCAGATCCAGGAGCTGTGGGCTGCGATCAGTCGCTTTCATAGCTGGGCTCCTGCTGAGCTCTGACCTGGTTGGTGATGGTGGTCGAAGCTGGTGTCATGACGGACTGGTCCGGCAGAATTACCTGAAAATTTCTCAGCTCGGCTTCAGCTCAGCTCTCATCTCGTGCCTCTCCCACTGGCAGAACCCAACGAGACGTGCTGGAAATGAAAACTTCCTCGCTCTCCATGAGGTCCTAAGCACCCAAGTCAGTCTGCCTTCTCCTGCTGCTGCTGCTGCTGCTGCTGCTTCTCCTCCTCCTCTATCCATCCGCAGCGAACCTGGAGGGTCGGCGCTTCCTCCACCACCTTGATCCCCAAGGAGCCGCACATCTTGAGGGCCAGGGACCGGACGGTACCGAGGAGGACGCCATCACCTTCATGAGGTCACGGGAGGACAGGGAGGCAAGAGGGTAGGCGAGGAGAGGAGGGAAAAGCGAACAAGAAGGAGAGAGAGGGAGGGAAGGGGCTCACGAGCTGTGATGAGGACGGGTGTCCCATCCTGGTCCTTCTTGAGCACGAAGAAGTTGGAGGAGAGGCCCTCGAAGAGTTTTCCCTGCTTCCGCTGTCAACGCCCTCCTTTCTTTCTCCTTCACCTTCTCGCTTCGCATCTTCTCTTCCCCCCTGGTTTTCTCGTCCTCCTCCACCCCATCGCTCTCTGCCTTCCGTCCACCTCCTCGTTGCATAGAATCACTTCGTGAACTTCATCCTTCCGCTCATCCCACAGGCTCTGACCACGCGAAATCAACCGATTAACCCATCCTCCTCCTCCCCCTCCTCTTTCTTACCTGCCTGCTTGTCACCCAGCCCGAGTCCTTTGCATGTGCCTGAGCAGCGGGTGACCAAAGGTCGCTCGAGGAAGGAGCTTTACGTTCTCACGAGGTGCTCCCATCACCTGAACCTTCACTGGATGTTCCGGCCGCTTCCCTAGTGCCTTCGCACTCTCTTACAATTCCACCCCTCCTCCATCGCCTCTGAATCCTCTTGCTGCCTTCTTTCCTCCTCCTCCTCCTCCTCCTCCTCCTCCTCTGTGTTGTTGCTATTCTCTGCTTTACCTGAACATGCACGTACAACTTGTGATCTGCATGTTCATCCACTGCATTGAGCAATCAGCAGCGGGATGGAAAGAGCATGAGCAGCGAAGGACGTTGGGACGGGGACGGTCAGGGAGATGGACAGGAAGACGAGGAGGGTGTGGGAGGCACCATTGAGTAGGGTTGTTAACTTCATCTCGCCCTCCTTGTCGTTGTGCTTCTGGTATCGCCTCACGGCCTCCCGGATATTGCTCAGGTACCTGAACTTTCTCAGCAAGGCGCGAGACGAGGAGAAAACAGCCAGAGGAGAAGCAGGAGGGGCAGGTACATGAGCAGGATGTGACGGAAAAGCAGAAGGAGAAAGCAGAGGAAGAGGAGGCGAAGAGAGCAGCAGTCGTAAAGGAGTTACAGGAGCATAGCAGCAAGTGGGGGCAAGGAAATAAGTACAGGCAAGAGAGGAGTGAGAGGAGAAAGGGAGCCATGGAGAAGGAAGAGGAGGAGCACGGGGAGGAGGAAGAGGTGGAATGGCTTGAGGAGGCGGGGGAGGTGCGGGTGTTGGTAGAGGTGAAGATGAAGGTGTCGGGGGAGGAGGAGGAGGGAAGGGAGTTGTTTCACTCGTGTCTCAATCGCTGAGGGTCGATGAGTTTCTCGTATTCTCGTGGTTTCAAGAGAGATCCTTGCAACTCGTCATCTCCTCGAGTCTCTCTCCCTCCCCTCCCCTCCCCTCCCAGCTCTCTATCCTCGCTCGCTCTCTCCACTCATCCCACCTGCTTGGACCATCAGTTGCGTGCTCTCCGCGATGCGACTAGAACCATCTGTCAACATTTGGCGATGCAGGAGACTCGAAGTAAGCAAGAGAACACAGAGGACACAAGGCGCACAAACGAGCCAACAAGAGGATGCGGAGGATGCGAACCTGTTGTGAAACTCGAACTCGAAGACGAATTTGTGCATGTGCGTCCTCGCAGTGGTGTAAGGTCCTCGCGGGAGACTCTTGAGGAGCTGCTCGGAGTTGAGGCGGCAGGGAACTTCCTCACCATTGCCTGCAGGCTCTTCAACTGCTGCACACTCGCTATGACACTCACAGATCAAACAGAAGTTCTCGGATAATTGTGGGGAAGAGGATGCAGAGGTCGAGGGGGCGGAGGAAGCCAACTTCATGACCGGGCCCAGCGCTCCTCTGCTCAACACAAACGAACGAGCCCAGCCCGCAGCTGCACGTACCCAGAAGAGAAAGTGAAGCGCTGAGAGGCATGAGCGTGAGCAAATGAACGGAAACGAGGATGATCCATCCTCACCTGCTACCACAGAACCACCGCTGTTACTCATGCCTGCAGCCTGAGCAAACAAGCAAATCATTCAGAAATGGAAAAAAGCTGAAATGAAGCATGGGGACAAACAACAAGAGCAGAGCGCGACGGCAGAGCAGAGGAGAAGAAGAGGAGACGGAGTGGAGAGGGAGTGGAGAGGGAGTGGAGAGGGAGTGGACAGGGATTGGACAGGAGAGGGTAAGGTAGGGTAGGGTAAGGTAGG